TACCCACATGGGGCAGCTTATTACCTCTGCAGCTCCAGTTCTGGGGCGATCAGCGTCCTCAGCATGTTGGGCGCCTGCACAAACATGGCACACATGTGGTACACACACACTCACACACACACAGGTGCATAATTAAAAATAAATAAATAATCCCGGCACGATGGTGCCCACCTTTAGTTCAAGCATTGTGAAGCAGAGGCAGGTGGAACTCTGTGAGTTTGCGGCTACCTTGCTATATATAACAAGTCCCAGGCCAATTAGTGCTCCACAGTGAGACCCTGCCTCAAAACGAATAAATAAATATAATTTTTAAAAATCACCCTGATTGACTCCTCTAGAATGCTTGACCAAATAGCAGAACAGGGGCACAACCAAGTGAATATATAAAATGCACTGTTGCTAACACCAGCTGTAGAGGCATATACCTGTAAGCCCTGCACTGAGAGGCTGGAGCAGGAAAATCTCCATTTGAGAGTAGCTCGACACCCGGGGCTACACAGAGAAATCCTGCCTCGAAAGAGATCTCAGACTACGAGCAAATTCAGCTGGGCGTCGTGATAGACTACAAATATCCTAGCACTTGGCGAGCAGAGGCAGGAAAATCAAGGGTTCAAGGCTGGCCTGAGACAATACATAAAAGAAGGAGAGGGAAAAACTAAAAAGAATGATCACATTGCTCTGTAAACTGGGAGGACCCTCACTGGTAGAGACGCTGGAAATGTCAGTGGAGCTGATGCTACATGCCATTTCTCGACCTTGATGCTCCTGTGGGTAAGCCCTAAAGAAACAGACTGAAGACAGTTACGTCCAGAGTAGCATTGTGCAAAACAGGCTGCACCTGGCAGCAACCCAAATATCTATCAACGGTAGAACAGATAACACTGCAGATAGTTAGAACACTGTAGAACAGATAACACAGCGTTATTTCAGAACGCTGAAATAACGGAAAACTAACAAGGTGTAAGGCTGCATCCACAGCCCAGCTCCGAGGTACTTTCATCCCTGTGACCCACAGGAAGATGAAGCAGGTGGACAGACTGAGCACAGAAGCTGAAGGCCAGCCTGAGAAACATAGTGAGATTCCACTTTTTCAAAGCTAAAAAGGAGAAATATAACTGCAAACTATGCAGAAACGAAAATAAACCACAGCCACATGCCGTAATCACTGATTTTTTATTTTTTTTTAAAGACAGCCAGGCTAGGGAGATGGCTCAGTTGGTAAAGTGCTTGCCTCACAAACATGAGGACCTGACTTTTTAAAAGACAGGCATGGGGCCAATTATGGATCAATGGGGTAAAGGAACTTGTTGCCAAGACTAATGGCCCGAGTTTGATCCCCAAGATTTGCCTGGAAGAAGAGAATTAACTCCCTCAAGCTGTCCTCGGGACCCAAGTCCCAAATTTAGTCCCCAGCATTCATGTTGGGCAGCTCATCCCTGTAGCTCCAGTCCCAGAGATTCTGGTGCACTTTTCTGATCTCTGCAGGTTCACGCGGGCACTCACACACACACACACGCACACACACATGCACGCATGCACATGCACGTGCATGCACACGTGTTTTTTTTAAATTAATTTTTTAAAAAGAAGAGTGAGAAAACAATTTAAGAACAAACCCCGTTTGGAGGCACATGCCCTAGGGAGGAGGAGTCATGGCGGTCACAGGGCTCACTGGCCAGGCGGCTTAGCTAGAGAGCTCCAGGCGGGCAAGGAGAGGAGCATGGTTCCTTAGGAACAAGATCTGAAGTTGTCCGATGGCCTCAATGTGTCCACCCACACACATATATGCACATGAACATGCGTGCACTAATGTGAGTTTTCGGTGAAAGAAGTCGATGTCTAGGGATGCACATTGTGGTACAAACCTCAGAGCGAAGGCTGGGGGTCTGACTCAGTGGACAGTACTTATTTAGCATTTACAGAGCCCTGAATTTGGTTCCTGGCACTGCATCAACTGGGCACAACGGTGCACTCCTGTAATTCCAACATTTAGGAGACAAAAGCAGGAGGTTTGAGAGGCTGAGGCCAGCCTGCCTACACAGGGAGATCCAGACCACACATAGTGGTGTCTGCCTGTACTCTCGACGTGGGGAGTGGAAGAGAATCAGTTCAAGGTCAGCCTGAGTTTCTGCCATCGGTCTGAGGACCAGCCAGGGTTACTGAAGACAACTTTGTCACAGACATCCAAGGGTTGAAAATGTAAATCAGTGGTGGGGTGCTTGTCTACCACACAGGCCCTGGATTTAATCTCCATCACCATGCAGGGGGAAAGGAAAGAAGAGAGAAAGAGGAGAGAGGCAGGAAAGAAGGAGGAAGATATTCACAATAGCATTAGGATGGTGGTGGCCTACAGCACTGGACATGGTGACTGACAGAAACTACTGGAGTGTTGATGACCTCCTGCTCCTTAGTCAGAGTAATGGCTCATGGATGTCACCTTTATCGTACTTGATTAAACCGTACGTTCATTCCCATGGAATTTTCTCTCTGTGTATTTCCCCATAAGTAGTTTTAAATGATGGAAAGTTGAAGGCTCTGGACAGCCATTGCAACACTGTTTCTGCCAGGGTCCACAGAAGTGAGTCTGCTCCACGCTGACTAAAGGTCAGAGAGTTTGAGCTTATTCTTGCTCAGAGTTGTTCCCAACAGGTGTGGATACAAACAAGAGATCCTGACCGAGGGTGTGGTTAATTAGTTAATTGAATCTGCTCCATCTTGACCAAGGGTTGGAGAAATCAAGTCTGCCGTGTTAATGAAGTTTGCCCCCGCTGCCCTTTCGGAGTGGAATATATAAGCATGTGGAAGAAAAACAAAATCAGTATTCACCGGATTTCCCTCCTGATGCCATTCTGTGTTTCTGTCTCTTATTTCCCTCCTATCTCTGTTCCTTTTGCTAATAATTCTAATCCTCATGCTCCTACCCTGGAACGTGCAAATTCTGTCGAGGCTGGACCTTGACAGATGTCGCCTCAACGTGTGGCCTACGACACAATTCACCAGAAAATAAAACAATTTCTAAATGATTCCACAAACATGTTTAGTTTCAAAAATAAGCTCATGAGTCAAGCAAGGGGGTATACATCTATAAATTGAATTGATTGTCAAGTTTTATCACAACAATAGAAAATAAACACAAAGTATAGTCGGGTTTTCTTTGGACCACCAGCTCCCAAATAATGATACAGAGATGTCTTATTAAGTATAAAAGTTCATCCTTAGCTTAGGCTTGTTCCCAACTAGCTCTTAGAACTTAAATTAGCGTGCTCACTTTGGCAGCACATACACTAAAATTGGAATCATACAGAGAAGATGAGCATGGCCCCTATTGTTCTTTAAAAAGATATGATGTTGGGATGCCCCGAGCGGCCTGCAAGCCAGGCAGAGGCAGCCGCCAGAGCAGTGCAGGTTCCCCGGGCAAGCGGCAGAGTCAGGCGGCTGGATGTGGTGAACAGCAGAGTAAATGGACATAAGGCTATATTATGTCATATACATAATGGACATAATATGGACATAAAGCTAAACATTTATTACTTAAAGAAGAGGGAGACATTTATTACTTAAAAAGAGGGAGACAGAGAGACATAAAGACAAACATAGAGAGAGACACAGACACGTGTGCACACGCCAAGAGATGGACAAAAGAGAGAGAGTTAAGATGGCGACCAGGAGGTCAGAAGTGGCTGGGAGTGGGCGTGGTTAGTCCTTAAAGGGACCGCAAAGGAATAACAGCCCCTGCACAAGGGTGACATGGAAATTTGTGACACATTCCATATTTTTTAAAATGCAAACTTTTATTAGCTTGTTTATTAATCCACATTCTGCCACATGCCCAGTTACCTCTCCTTAGTATTTGTACATCTGAGTTCCTCCATCTCTCACTGGCAAATTCCCTACCTCTCAGATTCTCCCCCAGAGTTTCTCTCTCTTCAGGAAGTCCCACCTATTCTCTCTTACCTAGCTGTGGGCCACTGAGCTCTTTATTAAACCAATCAGAAGATATTTTAACAAAGACACATCTTCACAGTCTACAAAAAGATTATTCTACAACACAGAGTAAATTCACATCGGGGTGAACAAACCAAAACTGGACCTCTTGAACTAAGAGGTGACAGCCAACAGCTAGGGATGAATGCTAGACCCGAGAAGGCAGCAAAGACGTCGGATAAGCTGCTGGGCAATAAGGGTAAGTGTAAGCAAGCAAGAGAACCTTCTGGAATCAGCAGGAAGCTAGGACTAGTTTGTAAATCAACACAAATTTCATTATGCCTGTTATAAAAAAATTGTGGTACATCCATACAATGAAATGTTGTACATCTGTTAGAAAGAATGAGTTAAGACTACCTATAATTACTCAGTCAAATTTTCATGATACTTTATTAAGTAAGAAACAAAATTATTAGAGGGGGTGGAGATGCAATTTTCTTAGTAGAGTGCCTGTTTAGCATACATAAAGTTGTGGGTTCAATCCCCAGCACCACGTAAACTAGGCACAGAGGCACAAAACCTAGTAAAATAACCTAGTAAAATCCTTGCACTTCAGAAGCGGAGGCAGAAGAAAGATCAGAAGTTCCAGGTCATCTCATATACGAAGTTTAAGTCCAAGGATATATGAGACCCTTTCTAAAAAACAGCACAGGTTGGAAGATGGGGGAGAAAGACAGAGGAGGAAGGAAAAGAAAAAGGGAGGAAGAAAGCAAAAAAGCAATAATTATGTATGCTATATGTGTTTTTATAAACATATATAGTAGGGAGGCCACTAGTTAGTTCACAGCTGCTCAGTCCCTAAATAACCACACAGAAACTGTATTAATTAAATCACTGCTTGGCCCATTAGCTCTAGCTTTTTATTAGCTAGCTCTTACACCTTAATTTAACCCATTTCTATTAATCTGTGTATCACCACGAGGCTATGACTTACCAGGTAAAGTTCTGTCATCTGCCTCTGGCAGGGCTGCATGGCTTCTCACTGACTTCACCTCCTTTCTCCCAGCATTCAGTTTAGTTTTCCCTACCTACCTATATTTTTCCCTGTGCAGACCTAAGACAGTTTCTTTATTAACCAATGGTATTCACAGCATACAGAGGGGAATCCCACATTAAGAAATCCTGGAAGAATACACTTGAAGTGGTTAAGAGACATCTGCAATGACTTAATTTTGTAAATATCTGGCTTGTTTAAAGTTTTACAAGGAACATACATGATATTGTGCTGATAACTTTGAAAGACTAAAGTATCCTTAGACAAGTGAATGGACCAATGCAGAATGTCTATACAGGGAGTCATCAAAGGGTTCTCTTCTACTCTGAAAAGTTTTGTGCTACCAGCGAGGTCCTTTAGGGTTTTCAGGATTAGAAAGCTTGTGTCTCCACAAATACTTGGATCTAATTTCCAGTCTTCATTCCTCGTCTCTGTCCATCTCTTGGTATCAGCTGGAGACTGTCAGGAGGAAAAGAATAGGCATTTAGCAGAAGGGTTGTGGATGAGCAACCCTTACAGAAAGGTTCAGTCTCTGTGGAGCTAAGGAGGAAAATCCCATGTGCGGAGAGAGTGGTACATAAAAGTATTAAGTGCAGATATCATCTGTGGTAACAGTGACACCAAGAACCCACATCACACTTTTACTTGTGGCTGCCAACACTGCGGGTTCCACAGAAAGGAGCGTGTGGTAGGAAATCAGAGACAAAACTCAGTCATACAAAGCACAGATAAGTACAGAGAGCGTACACAACCTGCCTCCTGTAGGGAAGGACTGAATTCACAACTTTACACCAGCTGGATAAATGACCATCCACACTAGGAAGAACAGGGGCCAGACAGGTTTCAGCATCCAGGTATATAGTTTATGAGGCCACGCCCCAGTAGGCGGGAAACCTTCCTGCAGCACTTGATTTGTCCGCAACTTTAAGCAGTCCATGTTCTTTCACTAGCCATACTGGTCTCATATCTTTCTGCCAGTCTTACTGCTCCTGATTCTCACTGTAAACCTGACTAAAACCTGCCAGAACTAACCATGCCATGGCCTGTCCTGAAAATCCTACCAGATGAATTAGTCTATAACTTTTCAACCCAATCCCACTCAGGACTGGGCATGAGCAGAAAATAGCCAAATTCTTTACCACATTAAACACTGTTGTGGGATATTCGTACACTGTGTGAAGATGTGTCACTGTGACTGGTATAATAAAAAGCTGAATGAATGGCCAATATCTAGGCAGGAGAGAACAGGCGGGACTTCTGGCCAGAGAGACGAAGTCAGAGGGATGGACATAGGCATGAGACACCAGCAGGACTCGAGACAAGTCAGACATTGGGGAGCGAGCCACTTGATAGAACGCAGATTAATAGAAACACGTTCATTAAGTTATAAAGCTAGTTTTTAAAAAGCCTAAGCTAAGGCCAAGCTTTTATAATTAATAATAAGTCTCTGTGTCATTATTTGGGGGCTGGCAGTTCCAACAAGGAAGCTTACTACAGAGCACAGTCCATTTCTCAATAGAATTATTGCTCTCAGAAACCTGTCTTTACTGTCTACATGCTGGGTAGTGTTTTTAGTCTTCCAATCTTCCACCAAAATATCCCATTGAGTAGTGCTTACAATATTGTGGAATTTCCTTGTCCTTCGTCTCCAAATTCTTCCTTTTCCTCCCAACAAACGATGTCCAAAGGCCTTGTAATGGAAAAAGTAAAAACTCTGCGGATCCCCGAGTGGCAGCAGTGGGCAGCAGGCCATGAGACCATGGAGGGCCACGAAGGCAGCTGGGTCCAAGGCAGGGAGTCTCATGGTGGGTGAGAGACCTCAGCAGAGCAGCCAGTCTCATGAAGAGAGACAGCCGCAGCGGGTGAGAGACAGACAGGTAGGCACGCCATGCAGAATGAGGTTGGATATTTATTTAGTGGGTTATGGAAGGGAAAGGGGAGAAAGGGAAAGAGCAGAGAGGGAGAGAGAGAGAGAGAGAGAGAGAGAGAGAGAGAGAGAGAGAACCAGAGAGAGACAGATAGGGAGGGGAAGAGCCATGGCAGCAGTTACCTCTTTGAGAGAGAGGGGGAAAAGGAAAGGAGCTCAGACTGGAGGCTTAAGGAAGATCTGCCTGGCTCTGTAGTGGGCAGGGCTTGTCTCTTAAAGGGACAGGACAGACCATTACAGGCTTACTTAACACATTGCTAGATTTGGTCACAGAAATGACCCTACCAACTTTCTATGTTAGTTTCTATCATGTCTCTGTGACCAAAACACCTGATGTAGTCAACTTCAGAAAGAAAACATTTATTTTGACTTATATTATCAGAGAGTTTCAGTCCACCATCGTGGGAAGGAAGGGCATGGCATGCAGCTCTTCTCACAGTGTCAAGAGCATGAAGTAGAGGCTGTTCACAGCACGGCAGACCAGAAAGCAAAGACAGACTAGCTAGAATCAGAGACCATGTGTAACCTTCAAAAGCTACCTACTACCTTGGCCGGGCACCTTTAATCCCAGCATTCAGGAGGCAGAGGCAGGCGGATCTCTGTGAGTTCGAGGTCAGCCTGGTCTACAAGAGCTAGTTCCAGGACAGGCTCCAAAGCTACAGAAAAACCCTGTCTTGAACATGGTGAATGCATTGGCTTTCAGTTTAGCTCAGCTATTTCCCAGAATCCACAGCTCAGTGCACCCCAAGGCTATCAGTTGGGGTCTGGGGTATAAAGTAGAATTTGCCTGCAACTGTTCAAAGGACGGCTCTGCTGTTATGGAACTTCTTTAAGGTTTAGGAGCTCTCCCAGAAAATGAAGCACAGAGCCAGGTCAAACTCAGGGTCTTTTCTAAGGTCCCTTGGAAGCCATACAAGTGCTCCACTCTCCTGTTCCTGTCTTTTGAGTTTCTTCGAGCATCCGATCTGGCGCCAACCACAGACTTTCCTAAAGAAGGCAAACCCAGGTAGGGGTCAGACCTGTAGTTAGACAATCACAGAACTTCATATCTATATCATGTTACCAGAGAGAACGGCCTTGCTTTGCAGAGGACATAGGACTGTCAGATTCAGCAAATAAAATACAGTCAAATTTAAATTTTAGATACACAACAATGACAAAAAGTTGTATTATAAGCATATTCCAAAATTGCATAGGATTTACTTAAAATTCTGTTTAACTGGGTTCCTCCTTGCCAGGGTCTCATACAATCGGCTTATTGTGACAAACCCAACCATAAATACATACAGGTCAGGATTTGATTTTTGCTTGCTGGTTTGGGACTGTTGTTGTGTTTGAGTTGTTGGTTTCTGTGATTATTTCGCTTTGTTGTGGCGCTAAGGACTGAAACCCAGGCTCAGCTAGGAGTCTCAGACTCCTACTTCCCAAACTTGGAATGATTCGTGATGTATAGGGATAGGGAGGACACTGTAGCCACCGGGACTTTAGGACGCTTAGGCCCAAGCCTGGCATATCTCCAAAGGACGGCAATGGAAGACCAGACATTCAACTGCTTCTAAGACTTGATGTCTTAACTACCAAATGGTCTATTTCCAGAGTTACTTTGTCCATTTATTTAAAAAAAAAAAAAGAAAAGAAAAGAAAAAAAAAACAAACAAAAAAAAAAACCTCATCTCTTGTAAAATGCGGGGCATGTTTTGCGTTTCTTCTGCTTTTATGTTGCTCCATGAAACACAGGAGGAACGGGTGGTTTTCACCCCTGTGAGCAGCACTAAGCTTCCCCACCCCGTCCCATCGCATCCTACCCCGACTTCCACCCCACTCCGAGAGGAGATCAGGCTAAACTACTAGCCTGGCCCACAGTGCCAGAGCCGGACTGTCCCAGGCCTTTCCCATCCTGATTTACGGGAACTCGCGCTAGTGATCAATCATCCTTAATTTTTAACGGGGCAGTGTCCTGAACCAGCCAATAGCCGAGACTGCCCCCCGACACCCCACCCTCACTGACCTTCTGCGACTGTCCACTCAGTCTGCCTGAAGCTGCCTAGCGACCAAGAACTTGGACCAGGTTTTGTAACGGGACCTTTGGGGGAGGAACACGAAGTCAAGAGGGCTTGGCAGGGTGGTCTCCAGTCTCCTTCTTCCCCACTTTCCACTCCCCTGTTTGTTATCGCTGCAGTTTTCATAGGCTTGCTTCCCCTTGAGCCTTCTGCCTCCTCTTCCCTCAAAGCTGTGCTGCCCAGCTCGCCCTGGCCCTCCTCTCCTGCTGCCCCTGGCTCATTGTTTAGTTAAGCGGGACCCGGGACCCTGAAGATTGAACAGATGGGCTGAGACCTGGGCGTGAAGGGAGAGAAGGGCCAGCCGGTGCCGGGAAAGGGAAGCGGTTTGGGGAAAACAAAACAGAGGGCGGAGCCAGGGAGAAGGTGGCCCCAGAGGGAGGAGGTGGGAGCACACCAAGAAGGGTCGAGGCCCGGAACGGAATGGGGGCGGGCCTGGGGATGGGTTGGACCCCCTGAGCTCCTAGGCTCACGGCTGCCTCTGAGGCTAACTGGCTTCACAGGTCGCAGCTGACGTCGCTGCCCAGATGGCCTCCAGGCTGACCCCGCTGACCCTCCTGCTGCTGCTGCTGGTTGGGGTAAGTGGTCCCTCGGAGGGGGGCGGGGGGAGGAGTAACCCCCTTTGGGCCCTGGGGAAGGAGGGAAGCTCCTCCTGGGATTAAGTTCGTGCCTAGCCCTACCATAGGAGGAGGGACTTGAATTCTATATTAGAAGATACACTAGCTGAATGACCTTAGGCCGGTCCCTTCTCCTGGATTCCTTAACCCAATTTATAAAAGGCAGAATACATAGACCCCCACCCAGCTCACCATCCAAGCTTAGTGGGGTCATAGAAGGCAAGACGAGGCCCCCCTTTGATGCTGTGACAGGCTCTTCCAGGTCAGGGTCTGTAGAAAGTGGGGTGCAAGAAGAAGGCTGGCAGACAGACGTGGACCCGTGCCAAGGTTAGGAGCACCGTGGTCCAAGTGGACTAGGAGGACAGGGGGAAAAAGTAAACTCATGAAAAGAGTGAGTGCTTGCTTCCGGTGGGTAAGCAGGACGTTATTCTGAAAGTTGGCATCCTGGGTGACCTTGGGGAGTCACCACCTGACGACCGATTGAGCAAGGGATCCGATTTTACAGACTTTCCTTCCCACTTCTGGAAACACTGTCATATAAGGAGATCCTCCTGGCTCACCTCCCAAATGCCTAGACGCCCGGGGTTACAGGTTGTACCGTTGCACCTAATTCCCACAATTCTTCCTTTCCTGTTGGTATACTAATTGTTTTCAATACTCACTAGTATACCACACCCACTCTGAAAATTCACAGTCCTAAAATAAGGCTCACAGATACAAATGTCTATACTACCCTGGCAAGTGAGTCAAAACGAGAAAACAGCTTCCTGCTTGGCGGTCGCTGAACACAAACACCCGATAGCCAAATTGGAATTACCCCATGTTTCCTGCAGAGAATTCCCCTGGCGTTGCCTATTTCTGAAGGAATAGCCCTTTACCTGCCAGGCTACACCAAAAGCAGCTGGTACAGTGTGCTCACAGTCTTCCTGCCTGGAGTGGTTGAGGGAACTATGGCTCCCTAAGAATGAAACCCTGTTTCTTGAACCACAGGATAGAGCCTTCTCAGATTCAGAAGCTGCCAGCCACAGCATCCAGGACCCATTGGTCACTCAAAAGGAAAGCAGAGACATCGTCCCTGAGAGAGATGGCCCCTGGAGTTCAAGTAAACATACAGTACAGTCTTCTACCTGGCCAACGACCAATGCACCAACCAAAAACACAGCTGACACCACCCAGAACACCCAACCGATGGCACAACTACCCACAGATTCTCCCAGCCAGCCCCCTATGAATGCTTCTGGCCAGTCCCCCATGGATTCTTCTAATAAGCCCTCCATAACCACAGATCCTTCCAACCAGTCCCCCATGAAAGCTTCTGGCCAGCCCCCCATGAATGCTTCTGGCCAGTCCCCCATGGATTCTTCTAGCAAGCCCTCCATAACCACAGATCCTTCCAGCCAGCCCCCCATGAATGCTTCTGGCCAGCCCCCTATGAATGCTTCCGGCCAGGCCCCTATGAATCCTTCAGGCCAGTCCCCCATCGATCCCTCCAGTCAACCGTCTACAACCACGGATCCTCCCACGCAGGCTCCCACCAAACCCTTCTGCTCAGGGCCACTTGCTCAGTGCTCTGACTCAGACAGAAAGTCCTCAGAGGCTACCCTGGCGGAGGCTTTGACCGAGTTTTCCATGAAGCTCTACCGCGCCTTCTCATCCACCAAGAAGGCTGAGACCAACATGGCCTTCTCCCCATTCAGCATTGCCAGCCTCCTGACGCAGGTCCTTCTCGGTAAGACTCTGGCTTCCATCTAGGCTGCACGTGGGACTCTCTCCTAGGCATCACCAATCACACACTTCTGCGAGGCTGTGTCTCTGAGAAGCTGTAAAATGGGCTACGTGACAGGGGTGGTAGGTCTTCATTCTAGAACGCTGCTTTATTTAGCCATGTTTTAATAAGATCCTGTTGCTTATAAAAGCCTGTGGACTCATTAACAGCATATAAAATAAGGTCCCAGTCGTGGTTCAAAAGCAATGGAAGCTGATAAGGGAGATGAAGTCATCAGAGGTAGGACCTGAGATAGAGTCATGGTAATGCACTTCCTGGCTGTGCAACCATGGGCAGTTCACTTAAGAGCTCTTGAGTGTGAGTTCTTGACTGTGAAGTGGAGATGGTGAGATCTCCCTTCAAAGTCCAAGAATCAGATGATGTGGTGCCTTGACTCCCTGGGAGGTAAAAACCTACCACCATGAGAGTGATTTCCCTAGGAGAGGCAATGACAGATTACCACAGGAGAGAGAGAGAGAGAGAGAGAGAGAGAGAGAGAGAGAGAGAGAGAG